AAGGGGCATTTAATTTATATATATATATATATATAAAACTTAAATTTACTGTCTACCTAAACTACCAATAAAGTGAATGTTCCTTACAAGGCTTTGAATAATGGACGACACTTTAAGCTATCATTGAGGCTTAACAATGAGGTGGTTGATGCAAAGTATGGCATGTGATAAGTGGGATCTATTTTTCCTTTATGATATTTAAGGTGAAGGATTTCAAACTTTTAATAAGGCATCACCCCCATGATATTCTTCTCGTAGAATGCACTTGTTAGATGTGTCTTATATTTTTGTAGCATATTGACTTGGGGATACATATATAATTCATTACTATTTGCATAATAGGTGGCGTCGCTTTGTTAAGTTTGAATAAAACAATCTTATGCTCACAATTTTTCTAAATTGAGTCAAACGACATCTGAAGCGTAGATTCTCCAACGCCCCTGAATCATTCTAGTGTGCCTCTCTTTCATCCCTATTAGTAATAGAATAATAATGAATTTTGTTTGTCCATGATCCATGTTATCTATGCTTTCTTAGACATGTCGGTCTGCTTTTTATAGAACATGATTTTTGGTTTATGATATTAATTTGTTCTCACCTCAACATATAGGATGTTAGAATCAACTGCTTTGTATGGCCAACACTTGTAATTTACTCATGAGGTTAGCCACAACATATAGAGAGCTATATCGAGCGTTCGTGTATGATACATTGAAATTTTTTAGTTGGTATGTTCTTATTTCAATTTTTATTTTGCTTTTCAAAGTTACTCAGTTGAAAAAATATATATTAGTATATACATAATGTGATTATTCGGTTGAATTATATTGATGTATTCTTATTATAATAAATTCAATTCAGTCTTATATTGAAGTTGAAGCTATCATTGATAAAAACAAGAAGTTTTTACCAGGAGTTTTAGAAATGCTTGTCTCGTTTTAAATATTTGGAACAAATAGATCAAAATCACACCAAAACTCATGAAATGAGAGTTCAATGAAATATATTCAAGTTACTCATTTAGTCAATATAAAGGGCACAAAACACAAAAAAAGAATAGTTTTTTGTTTTCTTCCAAACTAATAAGCATCACAAAAGAAAAGTTATTACACATGAAGTTCATATGCATGCAGATTCCGTCGACAATAATATTGTACAATATTTATACACATATATAACAGTGTATGACAAAGTTATACATGAAGCCGTACGCACGGGTTCCCGTGCACGGATTCCCGATTTAATATTCTCCCACGTTGCTATGAATCGCACGACAGCTCATTCGGATCGTGCTCCAAATAGGAAAAATTTTAAGTGCTTATTATGCATATATTGACACCAGCTATGATACAACAAAAGTCCCCTTTTTTTCCCTCTGTTAATCTCAGCCGGTGTTTGTATGCGCGTAGTACACACGTAAAATTTTTCCCTTACAGATATGGGTTGACCGCATGTAATAATTTCTCCATTTCTTCAATTGAAAGGGCACAAAAGAGAAGGTCAATTCTAATCAATGAATTATTTTAAAATTAGTCTTTGTGCCGTCTTCAACTGTGTTAAAAGATCCATGTCTTTGCACAACAGCTTGTATCTCTCGCTTATACGTTTGAATCTTATTTAAATCCTCTTTGTCTCTGAATTCTCCACATATCATCTCCCATCTCTCCCTCTCCCTCTCTTCCACAGCCAGCTTTGCCCCTTAGCCCGCACAGAACCATGTGGAGCCACACTGCACGTACTGTTATTGGCATCATCGGTATGCATATATTTTTCAATGTTATAAACATAAATATATGAGCCAAATATTGTGCTTTTCATGAAATATTAACTTGGTTTGGTCATCTAATTCAGTATTAGTTGGGAATGTAATGAAATGTGCAGGGAATGGGATTTCATTTACTCTGTTCCTGTCACCAGTACCAACCTTCCTCGAAATATATAGGAAGAAATCTGTACTGCAATTCTCTCCCATTCCATACTTGACTGCACTGGCCAACTGCATGCTGTGGCTCTTCTACGGACTACCGGTAGTGCATCCCGACTCCATCCTGGTCTCCACCATTAATGGCGCCGGGGTTTTGGTTGTCACTGTATACCTTACAGTGTTCTTCTTCTATTCGCCTGAGGAGATTAGGGTAAGTAGATTGTTTTAATAGTTTTGGTTTGGTTATGGGTCGTGGAGCAGTGGATTTAAGGATTCTGGTTGTGTTTGGGCAGAGGATGATGATGAAGATATTGGCGGGGGAGTTGGTTTTCATGGCCATGGTGGTGACTTTGGTCCTCACGGCGGCGCGCACGCACGACGTGAGGTCTCTTGTTGTTGGCATTCTCACTATTATCCTCTGCGTCTGCATGTATGCTTCGCCACTCTCCGTAATGGTATGAAATTGATCCCTCACTTTTCTAAATATTAAGTGTGGTAACTACACGTCAAATAGATAGACTGTCATGCAATATAAGACAACATGATCACTTTCAGACCGTTCTTCACTCTTTGTGTGTGAGAAAATTATTTTGTGCAACTGAGATTACATGTCGGAATGTGGTCATGCAGCATTGTACCGTATTGTTGTTCAGACATACCACAAAATACTGTTTATTACTAATTATTTCTGAAAACATTTTTTTCTAGTATTATTGATTAATAATTAAAATTATTAAAAAATGTAAATTAATTTTATGTTCTCTTTCATCCTAATGATCAAACTCATTGTAATTTCAGTTAAATGTAATATATGCTATTAGATTCTCAAAGTTTCTGGGCCGATCATTATCTATTGTGCAATTATTTTTGTCAGTAGAAGCTTGTGATCAAGACAAAGAGTGTGAAATACATGCCTTTCTGGCTTTCCTTCATCTGCTTTCTTAATAGCACGTGCTGGGCCTCGTACTTTGCA